ACCCAGTGACCACCGGGTTTTTGACGCCGCGAGGGCGGCGTGCCGCCAGAGCCAGCAGCAGTTGCAGCGGCGGCTCGCCGAGGCCAAGCGGACACCCCTGGCCCGTTTTAGAACCGCCCCCCATGTGCAATCGCCATGCAGGTTTTTGGATTAAAAGGGTAAGCACATAAGTGTAAAAACGTAGACAAACACGTACAAAACACGAACAAAAAGCCATCCACAACTAGTGATTATGCACGTCAATGCATAAATAGGTAGACAAATGACGGACACAGGTTAATAAATACACAGGTGTATAAAACAAAATCATATATATATATATATTGATAAATACATATGTTTAATAGACACATACATAAATGAATAGGTACATAGATAAGTATATCGAACAATGCATAAGTGAATAAATGAACACCAAACACGCATATACATGTAAATTTACATGAATACATCAATAAAGGAACACATAGATAAACACAGACACATACATATACTTTAGAGCCTCCGGCTCAGTCCGCCGACATTGTCCTCTCCCTTTTCTCCTGCTTCCTCTCTCCCTTGTCTCCCTGGTGTGTTCTGTCGTCCTCTCTCCCTCCCTCCGCTCCCCATCCTCCCCATCCCCCCAAGCCACTCTCTCCCCAATCTCCCTCTCTCGTATGTATGTATGTATGTATGTATGTATGTATGTATGTATGTATGTATGTATGTATGTATGTATGTATGTATGTATGTATGTATGTATGTATGTATGTATGTATGTATGTATGTATGTATGTATGTATGTATGTATGTATGTATGTATGTGTAATGTATGTATGTATGTATGTATGTAATGTATGTATGTATGTATGTATGTATGTATGTAATGTAATGTAATGTAATGTATGTATGTATGTATGTATGTATGTATGTATGTATGTATGTATGTATGTATGTATGTATGTATGTATGTATGTATGTATGTATGTATGTATGTATGTATGTATGTATGTATGTATGTATGTATGTATGTATGTATGTATGTATGTATGTATGTATGTATGTATGTGTATGTATGTATGTATGTATGTATGTATGTATGTATGTATGTATGTATGTATGTATGTATGTATGTATGTATGTATGTATGTATGTATGTATGTATGTATGTATGTATGTATGTATGTATGTATGTATGTATGTATGTATGTATGTATGTATGTATGTATGTATGTATGTATGTATGTATGTATGTATGTATGTATGTATGTATGTATGTATGTATGTATGTATGTATGTATGTATGTATGTATGTATGTATGTATGTATGTATGTATGTATGTATGTATGTATGTATGTATGTATGTATGTATGTATGTATGTATATGTATATGCATATGTATGTATGTATGTATGTATGTATGTATGTATGTATGTATGTATGTATGTATGTATGTATGTATGTATGTATGTATGTATGTATGTATGTATGTATGTATGTATGTATGTATGTATGTATGTATGTATGTATGTATGTATGTATGTATGTATGTATGTATGTATGTATGTATGTATGTATGTATGTATGTATGTAATGTATGTAATGTATGTAATGTATGTAATGTAATGTATGTATGTATGTATGTATGTATGTAATGTATGTAATGTATGTATGTATGTATGTAATGTATGTATGTATGTAATGTAATGTAATGTAATGTAATGTAATGTATGTATGTATGTATGTATGTATGTATGTATGTATGTATGTATGTATGTATGTATGTATGTATGTATGTATGTATGTATGTATGTATGTATGTATGTATGTATGTATGTATGTATGTATGTATGTATGTATGTATGTATGTATGTATGTATGTATGTATGTATGTATGTATGTATGTATGTATGTATGTATGTATGTATGTATGTATGTATGTATGTATGTATGTATGTATGTATGTATGTATGTATGTAATGTATGTATGTATGTATGTATGTATGTATGTATGTATGTATGTATGTATGTATGTATGTATGTATGTATGTATGTATGTATGTATGTATGTATGTATGTATGTATGTATGTATGTATGTATGTATGTATGTATGTATGTATGTATGTATGTATGTATGTATGTATGTATGTATGTATGTATGTATGTATGTATGTATGTATGTATGTATGTATGTATGTATGTATGTATGTATGTATGTATGTAATGTAATGTAATGTAATGTAATGTAATGTAATGTAATGTAATGTAATGTAATGTAATGTATGTAATGTATGTATGTAATGTATGTAATGTAATGTAATGTAATGTAATGTAATGTAATGTAATGTATGTATGTATGTATGTATGTATGTGTAATGTATGTATGTAATGTATGTATGTATGTATGTATGTATGTATGTATGTATGTATGTATGTATGTATGTATGTATGTATGTAATGTAATGTATGTATGTAATGTAGTATGTAAGTAATGTAATGTAATGATGTAATGTAATGTAATGTAATGTAATGTAATGTAATGTAATGTAATGTAATGTAATGTAATGTAATGTAATGTATGTATGTATGTAATGTAATGTATGTAGTATGTATGTATGTATGTATGTCTGTATGTATGTATGTATGTATGTATGTATGTATGTATCCTTGCACTTCCCCTTTGCTCCCCAGTATTTCCCGCAAAATACACGGTTTTTCCGCGTTTTCGCAAAGAGGATGTCCAAAAACACAGAGTTTTGCCAGATTTTCGGCAAAAGGATGCAGGAAGCCCAAGCCAGCAAAAAAGCCGGCAGGGGGAATCGAGCCTGGGACCCCTGTTTTGCGACACCGGCTCCCCGAAGACTACGTTTAGTGGAACGTCATCAAATTGCCGCGCGGTACGTGCCCCCCCCAAAAAAAAAAAAAAACCTACGTAATAGACGTCGGGCGGGGGGGGGGTTAGGGGGGGGGTTATCCTCTATCCTCTCTTAGGTGTCCGACACGCCGAGCAATGTCGGCGGATATACATTATACATATATCCGGCAACCTACTTCAGGGGCGCGTAGTTGAGCCTCTAGAGGGGAGATGCTTGGGGGTCCCTCAAGCCTCCCAATTTCCCGTTTAAGGGGGCCCTTTTGCTCATCTCCGGACTTGCCCTTTTCCGTTGTCCTTTCCATAAAGCAGCTGTCCCTTCTCTGCCTTGGTGTGAGTCTGCCGGTCGCGTGGAAGGTCCTTTTGATACCCCGCTAGACTTGTCCATGCTGCAAGGGCCCATGCACTTTACCTTGGTTTGTTTGGTTGGTCGTACTTGCGAAACTTAATTCGCTTTGTCTGGACTTGCTGGATTTCCGGGGTTGCGGTGAGGCATGAACCCTTCAGACTTGAACGGTAGATCTCAAGACATGTCACGTGAGCTTGCAGCCCCCCGAAGCTGAAGACATCCCCGTTTATGGGTGGGTTTCTCTCAACAAGATTCCGCCAGCCAAAGCAACACGGTTTCAGCATGGGTTTCCCTGCCAGATGAGCAAGCCACGCATAAAAAGACACGCCACTGGGAACCAGCTTGCCCTTGGAGGCTTGGCTTGGCGGTCAGGCTTTGGTGGTTGTCGGTACCTTCCCCCGTTGCTCTTTGGCTTCAAGAGGATTTTGGACATTTGCTGTTTTAAGGCTCATCAAAACTGAGCCAGAATCTGATCATTCTTAGTCTGGGGCGACTGGGGTGAGGTGGGCGAGTCCTCGCTCGCATTGGTTGGGCATTGCCTCAACGAGGCCCTAGTCGCGTCGGAAGGGAAACATGAGACAGATGTTTAAATATGTTCAGACGGGGTGTTGGCCCAACCTTATTTTCGGCACATTCATGTTGTTAAACATGGGGGTTGTCTCAAAAGGAGGGGGTCACCAGCTGCCTTTGGTCGCCCTAAACAAAAACACCAGGCAAACACCCACACCCACACCACCCACACCCTCCGGGGTCCCAAAAGGACAGACCAAGCCTCCCAGGGCGTCGACGTGAGCGCGGAGCTCTCTCGCCTGCTTTTCCTTTGTGTGCTCGGGGAGAAGCCCGGGAGCCCGATGGATGCTTGAGGAGCCGATCTGAGGGTAGCTGGCTTCCAACCCTTTTGCTTTTTTTGAAAGCCGGAAGCTTTGGGGCCCAAATGGGCTGCTGGGTTCCGGAGGGTTCGGGAGAGTCGCTGTTGGGGATGTTATTTTCTGAAGCTCAAGGGACACTGGATCCGTTGAAGATGTCCAACCAATTTTGATCGGTATTAATTCAGAGAATGAGAGGGGTTGGGTACACTTTTGGTGGACTTTTTTTCTAGTGTATTTTTTGGGCTCGCCCCGTCATATTCTAAGATATGAATTTAGAGAACGGGTTTGACATTTTTACAGGTTGGTTGTAGAACTTCCTCAACTTGAGAAAAGACAGCATGTATTTGTACAATCAGCAGTTTCTGTGCAACCGCTGATTTTGGAATGGTGGTTGGCTGGGAGGCCCCCGTAGGCCCCCTCACTTCCCCCACTTTGAGTTTCTTCAATTCGGGGTTGGTTCCTCTAACCCACTTTCTGAAAGTTCACCTATGGGGTGGTGCCACGCAGTTTCGCCCAGGCAAAGTTCAGGCACCAGAGAAGCACCGATTTGAGGAATCTGATTTTTGGGGAGCCCCTCCGGTTCTGAGCTCATCAAGGGTAGATCTTTGGGGCCAGTGCGGTGCATGGGGCGATGGGTTCTCTACAGTCAGTCGGTGGAAAGCAAGCGCTTCTTTTTCTGGAGGGACTCCTTTCGCCTGCCATGTCTTGCCCCTTTCTTGTGTCGCAGCCCTGTTCGTGCAATGATAGCCATTGGCCATTTGCAAGCTGCAAGCCGTGTCATGGTCAACCGACCTGCTGGCTACTTGGGAGTTGATATGGATGCTCATGAACCCTTTATAAGCATGTTCTTGGACAACTGCCTTGCGAGTTCGGATTCCGTGGAAAACCAGGGCTCATGACTTACCGTTGCGCGCATCTCCTGCTGCTCGAGCGAGCTCGAAGCTGGGCGGCAGTTTTGTGTCACTTGCCGCCATGAGCTCCTTCGGCACCCTCTTCAAGGCAGGCACTCCAACCCCTTTCGACAAGCACCCGCTGCTTGAAGAACCTCCTTTTGTGTGTGGCCGCTCTTAGGGGTAGCAGGGGCTGGTTGTTTGAACCGATGTAGAACATGGTTTTGGTGAAGGTTGGCGAGCCACATTTTGACGGCCCCTATTGTGAGCCATTGACTGGTTCTCTGGTCGGCTTCGCCCTGGTCTCTGCTTCTGAGTCGGGTCCTCGTCGGTTTGGATTGATTGGTGGTTTCGGCGTTGAGGCCACCCTTTAACTTCCCAAACCACCAAAGCACAGGGACCAAGCAGTTGAACCCATACTATACCCATGCCGTACCCGTTTTGTTTTTTTTTAGAACCCATACTACACCCATACCGTGCCCATTCCTTTTCTTTGAGAGTACGGCTGCTCCCATTTTGGAGGTTCGATTTCCAGTCCGCGATGGGTTTTTTCCAGGTCTCCACCTTTGGTGAGTCCCATGGCGTTGGGGTGGGCTGCATCGTGGACGGCCTCCCTGCCAACCTGCCCCTGCGCCTGCCTCGGCTCTCGGTCGGTTGCGCGGATTGGAATGCCACTGTTGGATTACCCCGAGGTAGGCCTAAACCCGGGGGCGTTCATTGCCTCGAACAGGAGAATTTGCAGGCGACTTTCCCTTGGTGGAAGTTTAGGGAGCTTTGTTCACCGCATGCGACGAACCCTTCCATCAAACGCGGCTTCAGCTTTTCGCGGGCTTTTGTCCGGCGGTGGCACACGTCTGGTGGAGCACTCTCCAAGAGGAAGCCTGAGGACAGCAACTGGTGGCTGAATCGCGTCCGAGGACGGAGGAGGACGTCCAGCCGCAGCTGACTCGGCGCCGCCCGGGACAGAGCTCTCTGACCACTGCGCGGAATGAGGCGGACACGGTGACCATCCTCTCCGGCACGGACCGGCAGATGTGGATGTGAATGTGGGTATGAGGGGGCCGGGCTAGGCTCATCCAAAGCTAACCAGAAGGCTAAGGCAGGCCCAAATGGTTTTGCGAGGGGTTCCCATTCATTTTTTGCAAGGGCGGTCCTGTTGGAAAGGCACATTTCAAGCGATGCGAGCAAGGGGCATGGCCTCCGTCCTTCGAGCGATCCGAAAGTTCAAAGAGGATGCCTGAAAGTGCGTCTATTTGTACACATCCCAGTGTCCTTCAGACACATCATAGGAAGCACGTCCGTAGCCCCAGAGCTTGGCGTGAGTCCAACATCCCCGCATTGACTGAGCCCAACTGATTGCGTTCATGGCTGGCCCTGAAAGGCTGATCGCAAACGTCAATCACTCACGGAAAGTTCTGTATCTCCCCTTCTTGCTGACAATTCTAAGTAACGTTGACCCCGGATCAACAAACCCGCCCACCGCCTCCAAAAGTAAGGAGCCCCCAACTAAAAACCTCCTCTTATTCCACCAAAAAATGGAAGTTTGGGCAACCGTGCTGCGTACTTCCATGTCTGGAGCGTACCCGTGGAATACTTTAAGTTCTGTGTGGCTGTGGCAGCCTTGGCCCCTTGCCGCGGCGAGGAAGGGGGCTTGACCTTGGGCACGCCTATAGCGATGATGGTGAAGAACCAGGCACAGGGCCTTTGGGGTCGACCCACCACCGCCTTACGAAGGGGTTCCGATATATGTATATCAGTGTATTCATGTTTGCTTTCAAATTCAACAGGTGGTTGAAGCATCATCTGGTTGCCAATTTGAATTGGACTTCCTTCGGGTGGGGTCTTGCTTATTTGGGGAAATATAGGGCGCCCTGTTACGCGTGGTTGTGAATTTCTAGCTTGCCTGGCGGGGTTGGCAGTTGCGTGTTTTTGGATTGGCATGATTCCATTTACAGGGGCCACCTATACGAAAAGGACGCCTATGATTGTTGCCATTTGGTTTGCGGCCCGGCCCAAAAATACATGCGTTCATACTTACTACGGTACTTCAGCCAGACAAAAGTTTAAGCTTCTTGCCTGTTTTGAAAAGACGTTTCCAGGTCCGCCGCGGATCGAATTAATAAGTGCGTTTTGTGCGGCAGTTGTGGGACGGTCAACTATCCCCCTGTTTTAAGTTTATGATAAGAAAGGCGTCCCAGGTCCAAAATTGTCCGCGCACACCCCCGTAGGTCTTTGCCTGAAAAGGGTTCTAATCGCTCAGGCCTTCAAGAAGCGCAACTTTTGTCTGGCCAGTGTAGAAACGCACTGGGGACGTCACCTTTTGGTTGCCAATTTTCAGCGAGTTTCGGATGCTAGCTTGCCAAGGAGCTGAGGTATCCAAGTGAGCTTTCAAAGGAACTACCAGGAGCTAAGGAGCTACCCGGAGGTTTGTAAAGACATGACAGCTCTGCTTTGGGTGATCGCTGCCGCAGCTGCGCGAGGACCAGCGGAAGTTTGACTACGCCAACACCTCTTCCGCCCCGCGACCGGGGCATGCAGACTACACCTACCAGGCCCGGGGCGGGGCTGCAGCTTGACGCCTCATATACTTATAAAAGGCGTTGCCCTGGCCTAGAGCCTGATACTAAATGTGGTTTCTATGATTTCAACCAGCTGCACACCTGCGTGATGCTTGTAATTCATGTGCTTTTTGGATTCCTTCGGTTTTAGCATGCGCCAATCGTCCAATGCAACGTCACACATCCAGCCAGATGCTTAATTGCCGTAAATTGCATATTGGGGTTCGGCTCAACATTAAGGCTCCAGACTTCAGGGGACTCCTGATTGCCCGTTTTTTCTCGTTGCTTCTCCTTTTTTTCCACTTCTTTTGGGCTTTGGGAGCCAACTTTTCGAGCTGCGGCCGTTTAGGGGCGTCGACCCACCTTTCCGACCGCTCGCTCGAGGTGAAGTACGGCACCCGCGCCTCCTCCGGCGGTGGCCGCGCCTCCGCTCGGGAGACCATCGGCCGCGTGGCCGCCGGTGCGGTGGCGGAGAAGCTGCCCGGCGGAAGTGGCCCAAGACCCCCAGGAGCCCCCCAGGAGCCCTTGACAGGACCCCCCCAGGACCCCCCCAGGACCCCCCAAGACCCCCCCAGGACCCCTCCAGGACCCCACCCACCCACACCCACACGTAGGGCAGGGGTGGGTGAGGTGGGCTGGTTGGCAACATCCGAGCATCGCCTGCCCAGGTTGGGAGTTGCTCAGGTTGAGTTTAAGTTGAGTTTAAGGCTGCCTGAGGTCTTAATGAGGGCGGGCGGGCCTTGGGTTGGTTTGGTTTGGGGGTAATTTGGCGTTCGAAGGCCGACAGTCAGCAAACACATGTGCTTGCTGGAGCATTCTGGTTGTTGCGCAGTCCTGAGCTCAGCCACCATACCGGGTACTTTTAAACTCAAACAGCAAACTTGCGGCCAGCTTCGATCGTTGCCTTCGAGGTTCCGGTCTTCCTTTGTTTGGTGCCCAACATGTTCGATGCCTAGACTTGGGCCTGGCTTTTAAGCCAGGCTGCAGGCTGAAGGCAGCGTCCGTCTATTGAGCTCCTCATGAGCTCCAAACTTTAAGCGCTCCGCGGTTAAGACGCGCCCAGGTGGTTGCAGATGGAGCACAAGACTATGATCTCCTGCTGGGCTCCTTGGCAAGCCGATCGGAACGGCAGCTTGCGCGTGGGCAAGCTAAATTGTACAGGGCGATGGGTTGGTGGGCACCAGGCCCCGGGGGAAGGGGGGAATTGGGGAATTAGCCATGGGCAAACAAAGCCTCTAAAGCAGGCTGGTCCGCAAGCAAGGTCAGCTCGATCATGGACATCGATCTGCCCAAAGATGTGGCACTAGCACTCGAGAGCACCTCGGCGTGCGATAGCTTGGCGATAGCTCGCGCCTGGAGGCCGTCGGCCTGAAAACGCTTGAACGGCATATCTCCCTTCCCCCTCCCACGGCTCGATTGGCCGGATTCGGAAACTTCAGTGGACAAAAGGCGGTGGTTGGCAGACTTCATGGGAATTCGCGACAAAGCTCTCAGCTTTTTGAGCTCGACTTTCAATTTTGCAGACCCCACCGTTTCAGTGAATGCTTTGTAGTCCCCCTGCTTACGGCTTGGCTTGGGCCCTCCGCTGCTGCAGCCTTCTCCCAATAGGAAGCCGCTGGGCCCGGAGCGCCAGGATTCAACGCCCGGCACCGAGGTGACCCCCCGACCCGCAAAGAGATCGATGACTTTGGGACCTTGGCAGAGGATGAGGAGAACGGCTTCTTCATCGACATGAATGGCCAGAGTCTCAGGTCAGGTTTGTGGGGACGCTTCACCTTTTTCGCGGTGCACCTGTGCAGGCGGTGCTACTGTGAGGTTCACAAGGGTAGTAACCCCTTTCTTGATAGCCCAAAAAAAGCAAAGCCTGCCGATGCCATTAGCCCCCTCTAGGTCCACCATAACACAGGAGTCACGGTGGGCCCTATGGTGAGAATTTGGATCAAAGTGACCCCTGTGTTCCGGCCAGGG